AAAACAATGATTGGTCGTGTTAAATCCGTAATCCGTGAGGATGTAGACATAGTGTATCGATTTCAGTAGTTGAAATGTCAGATTTACTAGATAAATAATGAGGCTATGTTGACGTCTAAATTGTATCACTTTTCTTTAAATCTCTGATAATTTCTCTCTCTGTCTGAGCTTTCTGTTTTCTCCTACATGTTATCCTCTCTGCCTATTTTAGATGCGCATGTCTATGGCATATGTCAATGGCATATGTGTGTGAATGTGAGTGTGTGTGGGGGGGGGGGGGGGGTTGTATGCACACAGATACGTATTCACCCACTCTCTCTCTCTCTCTCTCTCTCTCTCTCTCTCTCTCTCGCTTTCCCTCTATTTTTCTCTTTCTTTCTCGGACAAACGCTCAGAGAGCCCATAATTTGACCCCCAATTCCCCTCTCTCTCTCTCTCTCTCTCTCTCTCTCACTCTCGCGCACTAGCAAAGACACTCAAAAACACACACACACACACACACACACACACACACACACGCACACGCACACGCACACGCACACACACTCTCTCTCTTTCCTTCTCTCTTTTACCTGTATCTCTCCGTCTCGCTCTCTTCCTCTTTCTCTCACCCACCCTCTTCACATATTTCTCCCCCCCCCTCTCTCTCTCTCTATCTCTCATTGCCAGGGACAGGAATGACCCCTATTCCAGTGCCCATTAGGGCCAGCTCGCTTTAGCAGAATAATTATTTGTCACGGACTTAACCACCATCCAGACAGCTGACATTGCATGACCTGGTATAGGCAGGACTTTCCCGCCATCCAATTTTGGGGCTTCCGCGATAGGGTCAGATTAGCCCCAACTCCGACGTGTTCATGTAGAGCTAAGCTAGCCTACTGACTTAAGAGATTTGTCCTTTCTGTCCGAAGACTTTGGGAGATCTGTGCCAGCCTTTTACTGGAACCCTGATAGGCAGTACGTTTTGAGTAAGGTGTAGCAACACAATAGTAAATACTGTGTAAATACTATTTAACACTCACACTGGTACATGCATCAAAGTGGTAAATATTGTGTAAATAATGTGTAGCACATACTGGTAAATACATTTTAGCTTTAATTTTGATAACAGTTTACCGAACTGGCATCACAAATAGGTCATATTGTAAGTGCCGAAGTTTACATGTGTTACTGGAGAGTAGCAAACAAAGAAAAGACATTGTTCGACAGGAAAGGAGTAAACCACACAAGAGAACCAGCTAACCACAAAATACATAATGTTATGGAAGGGTATGGACTAGACGATGGCTTTCAATTTTCTGCCTTGTTAGATTATAGAGTTAGTATGGTTAGACATGATCAGATATGATGTGATATGAGGTTGGGGTTTTTGGGGGGGGGTTTTTGGGATTAATTTTTCAGTGTATGGTAAGTGGGCTGCTCTGATCTTCCATTAACCCCTCCCCTCCCCTCCTCCCCTAACGTTTTCTGTCTCTTCATCTCTCTTTCAACCTCTCTCAATCTCTTTCTCTTTCCACCTCTTTCTCTCTCTCTCTCTCTCTCTCTCTCTCTTTCTCTCTCCCCCCGCACACCCCTCTCCATCCCTCTTTTTCTCTTCCCTTCCATCTCTCTGTCTATCTTTCTATCGACCCCGCTACTGTTTCTTGTTTATCTTGGTCCTGACACTCAACACCCGTTGTCGCAAACAACGTGTTTACCGTCACACAAAAGAACAGTGGTAATATACAATACAGAAAAATGGAGTACACGTTTAAAACCCCTCGAACATAATAAGTTAGTCTAAAAACTAATAAAAGGTAAGAAATGATAAATTACGTTTAGAAAGCGTATTTTCCACTCGACAAGTGATCAATATACTGTACAAAGAAAATAATGCAAAGAATAATATCGTTCAAAGAAGAGAGTACAAAAACATAGTGTCTATAACAATCTCTTCACAGGTTGTTAACTTCGATCCAACGTCCGTTCAACGATAGCTGACCAAGCTTGAATAATTGCACTCGTTTCCCACCTGCCCACACCCTTCGTCCTCTCTCTCTCTCTCTCTCTCTCTCTCTCTCTCTCTCTCTCTCTCTCTCTCTTTCGCTCTTTCTCTTTCTGTCTGTCTTTCTGTCTGTCTGTCTCTTTTACTCTCTCTGCTCCCTCCCCCCCCTCTCCTTCTCCCTTTCTCTCTATCTTTGTCTCTCTCTTTCTTTTTTTCTCACTATCTCTCTCTTTCCTTCTTTTTCTCTCCTCCCTGGTAGAACAAAATTGATTCCCACGTCGGCCAATAGCTTCGATTAGTCTGGGTCAAAATGGGCTAAAGGCAAACTGCTTTTTTTTCCCTTAGTGTACGTGATTTGTACGCCGACTTTCATGGGAGAAGACGCCGGTTCGATTCTCGATTGAGGAGGATTTTTAAAATTGAGTTTCAAGGTCTTTCTGTTGGGACAATATATCTGATTCAATCTGGGTTGTCCTAAAAGGTAGAGTCGAAGGCCTCTTTTTATATAATTTCTGACGATATACTTACATTTATTTTTTCCCCCCCACAGAAACCCGAAAAATCCCCCCCCAAAAAAAACACCAAAAAACAAACAAACAAAACAACAATAAACAAACAAAAACAACAAATTATAACACACAAACAAACAAGATTTAAAAAACCCCAAAACCAAAAACACCAACAACAAACTCCAACACAAACAACAACAAAAAGAACCCCCCCCCCCAAAAAAAAAACCCACAAAAAAAACAACAACAACACAAAAACAGCCCAGTATTTTGATTTTCTATTCGTGATGTGGCATAAGTCCCACTTGGGCTAAACTATCTGACAAAGGCTGAATTTTTGTACATATGTGGGTGATTTTACGTGTCCATCGTTACAATTCAGGTAATTCAGAAGGTAGGCTTCAATCCTGTCTGTAAAGGCCAACCAGAGCTGGGAAAGACACAGCATTCTCTCAGAAACCGAGATTCTCAATAGAAATTCTCCTCTCTTCGGGATACCCCACGGGGCTGTGCTACTGGCTGAAGTGTCTTTAGGCCATTCCCAAAGGGGGACATTAACATGTTCGTATCGTATGCATAGTAGAATTGTTAATGGGCTGAACCTCAACAGGGAACTGCTGCTTTTTCTTTCCTAATCCTTACTATTGTCATTTTCCCTCTACTTCTTTTGTATATTTATCACCCTATTGTGACTCGCTATTTCCGGGGTGCCTTGATAGTCTTAGCAGACTTTGTGCTGTTGAAGCTGGAGAGGTGAGCCTGATTCCCTCTAAGTTTGTGTAAGGACTCCTCTGTTCACATCCACCCCTTGGGGCTCATATTATGACCTTATGCAGTTGCGAGCACAGTAAAACCTCTACTGGAACAACAGAAAACCCCCATCTCTTCGGGAACCGAATACAGGTATCCCGCTTGCGACGGCCATGGCTAGTCGCCTTACCGCTAACACCACAGACGCCGGTGCAAGCTTATTGTAGGTGTAAAATATTTACAACCAACCATGTAAATGTGGTGTGTTCTGATAGAACCCTATGTTTAGATGATATCAGGCAGTAGCATCCACCGACCCCTTTTCCCCCTTCTTTTAACTCCTCAAGAAAGAAGTGGATACACAATGTGCGATCAGCAACAGACCTATGTAGGTCAATGTTAAATCAGGCACATTTCGAACAATCATGCACAAAACAGAGACACAAATTCGCACATTTCACAGTGTGCACGAAAGTGCCTACCTTTTTAAGAGTTTCAGACAAATAGAAGAGAGTTGAAAAATATATATGAGTAGATACGGTATGCTTCTTGCTTCTTGAATTCTCCCAAACACAAACAAGCAAACAAACAAACAACAAAACAATTTTTTTTAAAGTCTTCAACCGAAATGAAATGACCAGAATGCGCGTCCTCAAGGGGTATAATACAGCGTTCAACCACTGTGGCACGTTCCCAGACACCATTTTCGGATGTGTGTGAAACTAGACCTGATTACATTAACGTCTTCTTTTTGCTGACGTCATACGACTCATGATATCTCTGAGGGAAGAACGAATTGATGGATGGATGAATAGATGGATGGATGGATGGATGGATGGATGGATGGTTTCTTTCTGAATTGTCTATCACAAGTGCACAATGCTTTACGGTTTACACATTTAATCTTCAAAAAACCCTATAAAATGCCTTTATCCTCATTTTAAAAACAAGATTCAGTGCTTTGTTGTCACAGTAAAAGCCCAATGGTTTTAAGGATCATATCGGCAGGGTGGAGGGTTGATTTCTCGACGTGATGGACGATCCCACCAAACGATCTACGGCTTGATATGTCGGGAAAGCAAAGATGATATACATAATATGGCGTGAGGTAGAATACTCGGTTGTCTCCAGGACATGTGGTTTAGTTTGGATAAGAATAATCATCGTGGGAGGTATGCCCTAGTTTGATACCACTTTTTGACCAATGTGGACAGCGTTGACGCACACCCTTCATAGGTTGTTGACTTTCTTTTGTTGTGACAATGTTTAGGTTTTTTAAATCCCGTTTTCTGGAATTAGAAACGTATCTGTGGTTGGTGTAGCATTTTGGCGTTTAGCCGTCACACGCAGGAGACCGAGTGGGGAGACTTTTCATTGAGCATTTTGGTCTTTCTTTTAGGGCTTTGTGTTGATCTCAGCTCTATATTTATTATTTAAAGCCCCCCCCCCCAAAAAAAAGTATGGAATCAGAGAACTCAGTTGTGTTAATTGGTGTTCAAAATCTCAAATTTAAATTTAAATTTTAAAATGGACCTGAATACCAATCCAATATGAGTCAGAACACAGCAAATGAGACAAACAAATAATTTACTTTAATCTAGGTGGTTTTAAAGTCCCTATTGGTACATTTAGATCATTTACAAGGTACATCTCGACCCTACCAGCCAAGGCCAACCCAGGCTGAATAGGAAACAACAATAAAGCAAACATTCTGAGATACTCAATATGAACCTTTCTCCTTTTTGGATTCAAACTCG